ATGATGATAGTGATGTTCTTTGATAGGCTCACTGTGAACTTCTAAATGAAGTCATGTAAAGCCCCTGAGTGTCATTTTGCCTGGAGTAAATACTGAATCAACACTGCCTTGTCTCTGTCTTGAAATAAAACATTCAAAACCTATGATCTAGAAAGAGGATCTATGTTCCTCCTTAGCACACTGTTGTTTTGATCCACATTGACATCTTTCCTGAGCACACATTCCCACTGCTAGATTATGTCCACTTCTTGGCCTGAGTCAGAAAACATGGGCAAGGGAAATGACAGCCACATCTCAGAAGAGGTAAAAGTGGCAAATCAATTCATGAAGAATGTTCAGCATTGTTGGCCATTAGAGAAATGCCAGTTAAAACAACACTGAGATTCACTCTCACCCCACCATCAAGAAGTCAATTATTAACCAATGCTGAAGAGGCTACAAGCAGATGTAGGCCTTCCACACTGTTGGTGAGAGTATAAACTAGTACAACCACATGGAAATTAATGTGGAGAGTCCTCAAGAAACTAGCACTAAAAATTCCATTTGACCCAGCTCTTCTCCTAGAGATCTTCCCAAAGGAGTTAGAGATGTCACATTACATTGATCCGTGCCTGCCTATGTTTATAGCAGCACAATTTATAATAGCTAAATCTTAGAAGAGACCTTCATGTCCATCAGCAGATGATGAATAAAGATGTAGTATTTACACACAATGGAATACTGCTCTGCCATGAAGGTAAACTTGAGTCATTTGTAGGGAAATGGATGCAGCTTGAGACCACAATGTGAAGTGAAATAAGTCAGACACACACCCTGAGCTACCACATGATTTCTGCTAGACAAGAAACCCAAATCAGAAATAAATTAAAGAGCAAAATAAAATAGGAAACAAGGAGCCAGACCTTTTGCAACAGGGAAGGGCACCATGAGGAGGAGGGAAGAGGGGGGAGTGCAAACAGAACTGGGCCACATCATGAACAGCAGCTGGCTCCCCGCGCTGCATGTCAGCACTGTGTGCCACAGACACGAAGCAACAATGCAAAGGAGGAGGAGGAGTTAGAGGAGAAGGAAGTGGAGAAGGAGAAGGAAGAGGAGGAGAAGGAGGAGGAGGAGGAGGGCAGCAGGGAATCACAGTCAAGAGTTAGATCTGGCCCTTGCTCTGGGCCTTCTGCTACCTACCCTCCTTTTAGTGTCTCAAGGTGCCCCTCTAGCAAAAGACAGAAAGTGATTCCTCCCCAAGGGCCTTGGCAAAGCTCAGGGGTCTACGTCTTTACTGCAGTGATTTGTGCTCCATATGTGTTGCTTAGACCAGAAATTACACTTAGTCACCCAAAGTGTAACCCAGCCCTCTGTGGCAACATACAGAGACAAACCCAGACTTCCAAAAATCAAGCTCCGAGAGAGCTGCAAAATGGAGGGTGAAAAGCAAAATAGAAGCCACGGGCTAGGGTTTCTCTCCCACTTAATTGGATTCTGTGAAGCACAAATAAATACATTTGAGTATTAATATTGTAAGACTTAGGGCTGGCCTGATAGCTCAGCAGATTAAAGCTGCTTAGGCAGAGCGCAGTGGCCGGGGTTCGATGCCTGGCTTGCAGTGCTGGCCCTGACCACCGGGCTTGCTGAGGCGCCAATTGAGATTGGGAAAGGTGGCGCGTGCCTGTAATCATAACACTTGGGAGGCTGAAAACAGGAGAATAACTACAAATCCAATCTGTGCAGTGAGACCGTGTAGACCCTGCATTAAATTATATATATATATATATATATGCTTGTTCATACTGAAATATAAGTTTTCGAAAGTGGTAGTGAGTTTCAATGCTGCGATGGCATAACATTATTATTATTAATTATTATTATTAAATAATTCTCTTCTTAGCATTGAGATGAGGAAAATGAAACAGGAAGAACAAGAGCATCAGAATTACACGAGGGCTTTCTTAAATTACAGCAAGAAATCCAAGAGTAGTAGGAAAAGGAAGAGCTGAGACTGGCGTCCTGGGTCTACCGCTGCCTGCTGAAGCACTGCCACGCGCCTGCACACCCGCGCTTGACTTCCCAGCTCGCTCTTGCTTCAAGGCCTCACGACTCCCTCTGGTTTCACCGCCAGCCCGTGCTCTGGGCTCCTTCTAGCCACTGCCAGAGCTGCATCCTGAGAGCTTGGAAGGCGAGGCCCTGTTCCCCGCTGCTCTGTGGCCCACGGCACGTGAAAGCCTGGCAGAGGCATCTCATCCCGACTGTGTGTTTCAAGGCTCGTATCGGTAGCTTCGCACCCGCCACGATAGGAAGACTTCATCATGGATATCAGTAAACACCACAAATTAAATCTGCTTTTTTTTTTTCCTTCTGCAATCAGCGTATTCAGTTTATCACCACACTGCTGCCCACAAACCAAATCCTCTCCTTTGCATGCTAAATGTCTCTGCTGTGGCCCCACCCCGGCATCCACCTCTACCACGCCTCTACTGCAGCTGTAATCCCCCGAGGCCTTGGTGCTGGCAGTGAGGGCTGAAGGACCGCAAGGTGAGGACCAGGGTCCCTCTGTTAACTGGCCTGGTCTCCCAGACACACTGGTGCACATCCCTTCTTGAAGTCCACCCTGCTGGATGCCTGCTTTTGCTGCCCCCAGTAGGGGTGGAAGACAAGGTTCTGGGCTGACCAGAAGGAGAGCTTCCTGGGATTTACTTGGTGGGCCAGAAGCCAGGAAAGCAGGCCTGGAGATTCACCCGTGCGTTCATCTGCTAAGGAAGAGCTGTTCTACCCACTTTACCCAGATCCCGCTCCGCATACGCCACTTGGGCTAAGCAAAGGTAAACTGAGACTCACGGCAAAACAAAAATTTTTGGAAGGGCCTCCCCCCCTTGTCCTCTTTTGTCTGTTTCTTTGCTTTTGATTCTCCCAGTAAATAGTTCTGCAGTACTGCCCTCTCTCCCTCAATAGCTATGCTCAGAAAGAGGAAGACGTTGGTCAGGGCGAAGCATTCTGATGTTTCGAGGCAAAAACTCCTAAGAATGTTGAGAAACCCTACTTTCTCAAACACCCTGAAGCCAGTACACAAAAAACAAGTGGAAGCTGTATGTGCGCTGTCCAAGATGGGCACGTGATTATTGGCACAGAATGAAACTAGTGTCAACTGAACACACTGCAAGCATACACTTTACACCAGATTTAATTCTTTTCTTTTTCTTTTTTTTTTTTTTTCTCTTTTGAGATAAGGCCTTGCTATGTGAGTGAGGCTAGCTTCCTATTCCCAACCCTGTTTCATCTTTTCCAGTACTGGGAGAAGAGTTAATTTTTAAAAGTGAATGTGAAAATATCCCAATAATTTTTATATTGATTAAAGATTGGTCATATTTTGGCCTCAACAAGCTGAATAAAATTTAGTGTAATAAATCAACTTGGCCTGCCTCATTCATGTTCTTGTAAACAGAGCTGCAGCATGCAGTTGTTCCTGCCAGACTGGACTAGGTTATAGAGTCCAGGTCTTACATTATTCATCCAGCCTCTGTCTGAAGGTGCCTCATGACGGGGAGCTTCCTACTCCTCAACAGGCTACTCTATCTAAGACAACACAACCCATAGATTTTCTCAGGTAAATTTCCACCTCTGAGGGCTGGAGAATATTTTAATTCCCTCCACAAGACAGAAACACGAGAAACAACAGAGACCAGGACAGGGTCTCTCTCACACTACAGACTTTCCAAGTCCAAGTTCCAGAAATCTTCTCTAGCATCCCCCATCAGCTGGGAAGGCTGCTTCGGAGCCCAGACTCTCTGGCCCCCAGGAATCTCTCTTCAGCATGCTTTCTTGAGAAACTTCACCTTTCAGTCCTTAACATACTACTCTTACTGGAAAACTAACTACAGTTGCAGAAGGGGGCAAAACCACTTCTTTTAACAGTTCATGCTTAGCAAGCACTTATTCTGGGTCATGCACCTAAATGGACATCCATAGCTCTTCCACTCAACACCATAACTCATGGGGCAGGAAATGTTATTCTTCCCATTTTATAGACACAGAAATTAAGGCACAAAAACAGAAGTCACTTCTCAGTGTCATATAGCTAACAAGGGGCAGACATACCGTACCAAGCAGGCAGCCATCACTCATAATTCAACCATCACTACTCTTAACGCTTATCAGTACTGAGTCTTTTCTGTTGTTGAACACTCTCTCCGGGGAGCTTCCTGGCCACTATCACAGCAGGGCTCTCAGTGGGGCCCCTGGGACAAACTCAGCTCCATATTAGTTGATGGGTGGAAATAAAGACAGAATAATAACAACAAAAATAAAAGCACCAGAGTTGGAGTCTCTTGAAATATCTCAGAAATAGAAATGGGAATGAAAATTCTCCCCAGCCCTCTTCCTGAAGCTAAAGCAGGTTGAGCCTAAGAAACAGAAAGACTCAGTAATATCTTTGAGGCTTCGAAAAGCTCTGAATCTGCGTCTAACAAGCCGTCACCCATCTTCCGACAAAGCGCAATTAAAAACTGAAAACATCTGCTTACAAGACAGTTTGACCAATTTAGAAAGCAGATAAGGATGAGCCTCCCAACCATAAAAGATATAAATGGTTCCCAGGAAAAAAACGAGTGTGCAAATCTCATTAAATCCAGGGCGCAGGAGGAATTGCTGAATGATTCTGTCCCTGGAGGGGGAGAAGAATCTTCTTCCACCTCTCAGCCAAGGCTCTCAGAAAATAACTGTTGGGAGCTAGACGGAAACAGGGTGAGCTGCAAACCACAGAGCAGGAAATCCTTGCACAAGTTGAGGAGAAAGCTGAAGACAGGACGCTCCTTCGAGCAGCACCTGTCACCTGGGAAGCGGCCATCCAGCTGGAGGCCAGGTACAGACTGGGGATGCACTTGTGTGCAGGGCTCCCAAAGGGAGCATCATCTCCTCTCACAGGTGCACACAGGACTCTTAGCATTAACCCCAAAGAGGAAGGTGCCCCAGAGCCCCCACATCATTGCAAGATCCCCACCTCACAGCTGACTTACCCAGGAGCTGCACAGCGGCAGGAATGACAGAGACAAAGCTCAGGAGCAGGGACAGCCTCATGGCCCAGGGTTTATCCTTTTCTCCCACAGATGGAAAGGAGAATGTACAAAAGAAACACGGGGGCCCTGACAGTGCCCCCAGCCTGGCTCGGGTCCTCAGGCTGAAAAGGAGGCTGGAGGAAGCTGTCCCTTTTAAAGGGCTCCTGAATTTAGGAAAACCCTCCAGTAAGGAGATATCCTGTCACATGAGGGTGGTTAGAAAAACAGGAATTCAAAGTTACAACTTTGCTTCGTAAGCTAACTTCTGAGAAAGGCAGGCACAGGGGGAAGAGGAGAAAGGCACACATGTGGGAGAGGGGAGATGACGGGGAGGGGTGACAACAGGGAAGGGTGATAACGGGGAGGAGTGACAGCAGGGAGAAGTACACAGCTGGCCCGGCCCGCAGGGAAGTGACTGGGCCAGGACCTCTCTGCTGCTGCCAACTGAGCTGCTGAGTGGAGACACACGGCCCTGTAGGAAGCAGGGAGTCAGAAATGACCATGCTGTAAAGGGACAGAAACAGCAGGCAGTGAAGGTGACAGTTTTCATGGGGGACAGTTTTCATGGGGACACTGTACTTAAGAGGGGCAACTAATCTTATTTTCCATATTCAGTGTTTGGAATTCCATCCTCCCCCTCTTTTTTAACCTGGAAAATTCTCAAAGATACAGTTTCAACAGATCTTTGCTCTTCTACTTGGAGGAAAAGTAAAACAGAAGCTAAATCTAAAATGGAATCTCAGGGAGCCCAAGAGGAGGGAGTTCTAGAAGCCTTTGTCTAACAAGCCAGAGCGAACAGAGGCAAAGGACAGGCAAGAAAGTGTGGCTGCAGGGACCCTACCATGCTGGCTGTCCTCAGTTTGACAAGGCCCTCCAGCAAGAAAAAGAAAATCTAGTCTTTAGGTCAGAAGATGTCTATTGATGCCATGACCAAAGCAAATCTTTGTTTAAATAAAAAAAGTGAACAGATCTTTCATGAAGCACAATATCAACCCCCAACATCGTTTTTATTATTTTGTTCAGAAGTAAAATATGAATTAAGAACATTTTGAAATAGATACTAATGATTAGACAGCCGACCTGTAACTTAAAGGCTGGAAATGTTTAGTAATTGAAAGAGAAACTAGTGGGAACATTGTATATTGTTTTGAAATCTGAAATGAATGTTTTATCTTCAAATGGGAAGAAAGCTCTGAAGTATCTCCATCTTTGTGATAAGGCTGCAAACTTTACTTCCTAGAAATATTGTGATACAGTTCTCCCACTGATTTTTTTAATGTTTAAGCTTATTATTTAAAGTTTAAGATTATTATGACAGGAAGAGAAAAGATGGCAAAATGTGGGACAGAAGGTTAGTGTTTCTTTTTCACTGAGCCAGTGCTTGGCTGACCAAAAAATATTTGCTTGGGAAAGAGAATAGATGAAACAAAAATGTTTCCAATATTGTTTTACTGATTTAGAATGAAAAATTTTAATGAATCATTTTTAGCTTTTAAATGTCACATTAAAAATGGCAAGTCATAGTGCCTTGAAAGTTTTGCCTAAGTTGGATTTATATGATTTCATAAGGAAATACAATTTCACTGAATCATCTCTACATCCATACTCAGATTTTTTTAACTACACAAGTATGTCATGTTGTGCTTATGTAGTAATTAAAAATCAGAATCAGGAGTAAAGCCTGTGACTTTGAAGCAATAAGAAGACAATTCTTCCACACAACATTTATCTATTTGCTCTGAATCTTATGGAAACAAAGATTTACTGGGCTAGAGGAGGTGACCAAGGTGAAAAAGAAATCCAGCTCTTGGGGAAGTATGATCTCAGATTATGGTGAAGCAGGAAGATCCAAGTAGCCATCCTTCCATCTAAATAACTTTTGCACTGGAAGAACCATCTGAAAGAATTATTTTGGAATTTTAGAGCCTAATCAAAAACTTGAAGCCTAACCAGGAAACAAGAGGAAAAAATCTACAGCACATTGCCACAAGAAATTAAATGTCTAAATAAGTGAAAGATACCCCAGGAGCTGGGGAGATGGCTCAGTGGAATAAGCACTTCTCTGGCAAGTGCAAGGGCCTGAGTTCAATCCCCGGTACCACTGGGGGGGTGTGGGGGAAGATACCCCAGATTCATAGATTGGAAGGTTCAATAGTGTTAAGATAATAAATTACTCAAAGCACTTTATAGATTTATACAATCCTTACCAAAATCCCAATCTTTTTTGCAGAAATACAAAAACCCACTCTAAAATTTATATGGAATCTCCCAGTATTCCACATAGCCAAATCAGTACTGAAAAATATAGTTGGACAATTCATACTTTCTGATTTCAAAACTTATGACAAAACTACAATACAGTAATCTAAATAGTGTAACATTAGCCTAAGGATATATAGCACAGTGGAATAAATAGAAGGCCTAGAAATAAATCCTAATGTATGTGGCCAGTTGAGTTTTGGCGAAGTACTAAGACCATTTAACCAGGAAAGCACAGTATTTTTTGGTTTTTGGTGTCTATGGTAGGGAGTTAGGTTTTCTTTTGCAGTACTAGGAATTGAATTGCAAGTCTTTTTCAAAATGGTTTATCCTAAATTTTTCATATATATATCAAGACAAGAGCTTGCTAAATCACTAAGCTGCCCACATTGGACTCAAACTTGAGAGCCTCTTGTCTCAGCCTCTCAGAGTTCTGAGATTACAGGTACGATCTATCACATCTGCTCAAGAATAGTGTTTTTAACAAATGACACTAGGGAGATTGTACAACCACATGCAAAAGAACAAAGCTGAATTCTTAGAATTTATACAAAATTTAACCCAAAATTAGTCAAAGATCTAAGATTATAAAACTCTTAGAAGGAAACACCAGGAAAACTTTCATGATATTGGGTTCAACAACTTCTTAGATGTGATGTAAAAAGCACAAGCAACAAGAAAAAAATAGATAAAATATTGTTATCAAACTTTAAAAATTATCAAAGGATGCTATAAAGGGAGTGAAAAAAACACAGAGAATAAGAAAAATATTTGTAATCATACATCTGATAAGCAACTAGTATTCATAACATAGAAAGAACTACAACTTAATTTAAAACTGAGCAGTTAACTAAAATACGTTCCTATAACAAAGATCTAAAAATGACCAATAAATATATGTGAAGTATCTTGAGCCACTAGAGACATAAAAATCAAAACTACAAGGGCTGGCTAGATAGCTCAGCAGACTAAAGGCCTGCATAGGCAGAGCTCAGTGGCCAGGGTTCTATTCCCAGTCTGTCCTGCCTGCCCAGCCCCCCAGGAACCCTGAGACAGCCATTGAGACCGGGCATGGTGGCACACACTTGTAATTTCAGTGCTTGGTAGGCTGAAAACAGGAGAAGCACTACAAGTCTGATCTATGTAATAAGACCCTTTAGGCCCTATACTAAACACAAAAATAAAAAATAAAAATAAAAACTACAATAAGATACCATTTCACACTTAAAAGTATGTATTTTATCAAAAACCAGTCAAGAGGTTGGGGAGATGGCTCAGAGGCATAACGTACCTGACATGCAGGACTGGAGTTCGATCCCTGGTCCCACATGCCATCCAGGCCCTGGAACCAGTTATAGTGTCGCACTGCTGCAATTCCTGCACTTGGGAGGTTGAGACAGGAAGATCACTGAGAGTTTCAGACCAGCCTGGGGGCTACAAGGCCAGCCCAAACTGCATAGGAGGCCCTGGCTCAAAACAAAAATAAAGATAAAAACAAAAACAAAAAGCAAACAAAAGAACCAGTCAAACATACTAAGAGTTGGTGAGGGTGTGGAGAAATGAGATGCTCCTTGCTTGGAAGGTGCCGAATATGCAATAGCGGCTCAACAAAGAGAAGGCACATAAAAGAAGTATAAAAGATAATACTCCTATTTCTCACAGATAAAACGAGTGCTTCATTCAGAAGTTTCTTCTTATTAAGCAGTCCTACCTTGTAATAGGCAAATGTGCTCAAGTGGCAGCAAGATTATTTCTACTCTGGCAAGAGAAAAACGAATGTAAAAATTATGTCAATTATGTCATAAAGATGCGTTATTGTGAATATATAATACTGCCCTTTAGTATTTAGAATATTTCTATTGATGAATTGTTAATTATAAGTTTATGAGTTATATTAAGCAATGAGTACTTTAACAGGAAAAGTGTCTCCAAAAAAAACACAGTATTAAATTTTTTATATTTATTATTTATAGAAAAGCATCAAAATTTTCAACATCAACTGGTTTGGGGGGTACAAAGTCTAAAAAAGACAACAGAAATAAACTCCTATATGAATTACAATGGAAATACCATTGAATTCTACAAAATAAAATCTTTACTTCAATTATCACATCTAAGGCAGTCTTCGCACGTAGCAGCAGCACATTCCATAACACACCAATTACACTGAGAGGATATGGATTTCTCTTTTCTGGTCTTTCAGTAGAACATTCTTCACATTTTGCTGATATTGAAGTATTGTAAGAAGGTTCTTAGTAAAGTGTGCAATATGTGCTTAATAGGTACATAAAATACAAATAAAATAAATTATTAAATTTTGAAATGTATTACACATATAGAATGAGTATCAACATTTTCATATCAGCTGTGTACCTGTTTACAACATCTAAACTATAACATCAGATATAAATTCCTATAGGAAATACAATGAACATGCCAATAAAACTCTATAACAAAAGTACTATTTACTTCAATTGTCACACCCAAGGCAGTCCTCACACATAACAACTGCATGTCTTGGTACACATTCTGCTCACACTGACAGCATATACAATTAGCTTTTGCTTTCTATGTGGCAGGTCATTATCAGTATCTCTCTGGTCTTCCTTTTGGTCAGGAACTACAATGCATAACACGTAGAAAAGTGTTTTTAGCAGAAAAATAAGATATCCATAACATAACATATCAAATATGTAACTAGTGTTTAGAATAGACATTAACATTTTTACATCAACTGTATATTTGCTTGAAAAACCTAAAAGATAACAATAGAAATAAAAAGGTACATGAACTACAATGTAAATACAAAAAAGGTCTACCATAGAAATGATCTTCGCTCCAACTGCCACATGCAAAGCAGTCTTCACACATGACCACTGCATGCTCCATGCACAAGTGTCACACTGACATCACACACATTTGGTTTGCCTGTCCTTTCCTGTAG